TACCTGAAGCAACAGAATACATTCAGGCTTTATGGCATCACATTTCTTATTGTTTTGGAAGAAAAAGCTGTGTTCTCAAAATGGTGCATTGTCTCTGGGCATCTCACCCTCCAATATCTCTGAGGGACGACTAACTAGATATTGTAACCCTGAGCAGTGAAGATAGAAAGTGGCTTAAGTTTTTTTCTTGACCTGTGTGGCCTTTACCACTAAATATCGTGTTCCCTAGACCTATGCAAATGTTTGGACTGTTTACACTCTTATACAGTGGTTCTGCTCCTTTCTCCTGGGCTGTGTCCAGAAAGTGGTTTGGGGGGATGAGTGTTCAGACCCCTGGGCTCTCACATGTGGGGTGCCTCAGGGTTCCGTCCTCTCCCCCATGCTTTTTAATATCTATATGAAGCCACTGGGAAAGATCATCGGGGTTTGGGCTGGGTGTTCATCAGTACGCAGATGATATGCAACCGTGCCCCTGAGGGAGCAGGTGCACAGCCTGGGAGTCATTTGGACTCACAGCTGTCTATGGAGGTGCAGGTAAATTCTGTATCCGGGGCAGCTGTCTACCAACTCCATCTGGTATGCAGGCTGAGACCCTACCTGCCCACAGACTGTCTCGCCAGAGTGGTGCATGCTCTGGTTATCTCCCACTTGGACTACTGCAATGCACTCTACGTGGGGCTACCTTTGAAGGTGACCCAGAAACTCCAACTAATCCAGAATGCGGCAGCTAGACCGGTGACTGGGAGTGGCCGCAAAGACCATATAGCACTGGTGCTGAAAAACCTACATTGGCTCCCAGTACGTTTCCGAGCACAATTCAAAGTGTTGGTACTGACCTTTAAAGCCCTAAATGGCCTCAGCCCAGTATACCTGAAGGAGTGTCTCCACCCCCATTGTTCAGCCCGGACACTGAGGTCCAGCACCGAGGGCCTTCTGGCGGTTCCCTCACTGCGAGAAGTGAGGTTACAGGGAACCAGGCAGAGGGCCTTCTCGGTAGTGGTGCCCACCCAGTGGAACGCCCTCCCATCAAGGAAATAAACAACTATCTAACTTTTAGAAGACATCTGAAGGCAGCCCTCTTTAGGGAAGTTTTTAATGTTTGAAGTTTTATTCTGTTTTTAATGTTCTGTTGAAAGCCGCTCAGAGTGGCTGGGGAAACTCAGCCAGATGGGCAGGGTAGAAATAAATTATTATTATTATTATTATTATTATTATTGTTGTTGTTGTTGTTGTTGTTGTTGTTGTTGTTGTTATTATTATTAAAAACAGGCTCTGCCTCCAACATACACCATGTTCAGTTGAATGTCTGCATGGACTCTACATACTTAATACCGAATGTGCCATAGACATTGACCAGGACAATATACATAGAACACTGTTTTTCCAGAGTTCCCAACTACTACATGACTTTAGTTCAACACAGAGACAATTTAGAACCCCAAAACAATCTGTCAAAGTTAGAGAAATGAAAGGAAGAATCAAAGACGTGTGAAACTGTTCAGTTGAGCAATTTCAGTGCTATCTTATTAACAGAATTTTGCTGACTGACAGTGAGTAAGAACAGAGATCAAAGTACTTGATGCCAAGTTCAATATCTCAGCTGAAACCCAGTAATCAGATTGTTTATATTGTGCTGACTGTTCTAATGACCCCAATGCTATTAAATCCAAGTTTCAGGCAAAGTAATGCAATAAGCAGAATGTTGAGGCTCTGAAAGGAGATCTAAGCTTGGGGAAATTGCTTTCTAGCTGTGAACAAAAGAGGCTTACCCTCTCTAGTTCCCTCATTGTGCATCACATAATTTTTTGTTTGTCTCTGTATATTCTAGTGAACTGCAAAGTTTATTGTGCTTATGCTTTCAAGAAAGTGCTTGACTTGCAAGTTAGCCTGTAAATAAAAAGGGTCTGATTTGATCATGGACTAAACTGATCTGAACTCAAAGAAAAAACAGCTGCATGGGGCTGGCCTATCCACTTCCCAAAAGAGGCATTTGTTAAGTATGCTGATGAGGGTGCCTCATAAGTAAGTAACACAGGGTGTCATCCTACTAAATCATACTCTGAATAGACCTATTGAAATTAATGGACAAAACTAACTTAGGTTCATTAATTAAAGCAGGTCAGTCCTATGTGGAGTACATACATTGGGCTGCATTTAACTAAGTTTTACTAATAGTAGGACTCATTGAAGTAACTAACCTTAGTTGCTCTTATCCATTACTTTCAATGCGACTACTCTGACTATGACCTATTCTGAATAGTTGCAAAAATATCTGTGACCAGCCTTACCAAACAGGTACCAGTAATTGTAGCTGAACACAAGCTAGTTTCCCAGTGTATATCTAAAGTGGGTACATTACCTAATTGGACATAAACTCAATGGCTCCACAGTCAACGGTTATTTGATTATCAATTATTGTGCTTTCTGTGGTTTGACTATGTAAAGCTTTTCACCACTGTGGTAATTGTGAGAGTGTAGCTTCCCAGTTCACCTTAATTTTTAGAGGTGTTTTTAATGTCTCACTTGAGCAGCCGATATTCTGCAGCCGATATTCTGCTAAGTATGATTTAGTTGTGAAATTACTTCAGAGTTCCAAATTAGGCTTGAAGTGGCTGTTCTCTAGAGTACTTAGGAGAGAAAACAATCTGGAGGAAAGTCTTCTGCGTGAAACTGTCTTTAAACGTTTTGAGACATTTAAGTGTTGTATACTGTCTGACTGCACTTTTTAGAAAACACTTCTATTTTTATCTGTGGGCAAAACTGTCTTGGATGTTCAGAACAAGCTGGGGGACACACACACACAAATGAACTTCCTCCCACATTTGTTTAGCATCTCCTTGGCTGTCTCTGTGTGCTTCCCTTTCCTTGGAGAAGTGAATGCATTACACATGTAGGGACAGAAAGCAGACAGATTTCCTTACAGAGGTAGATGCCTGGGAGCCGTTTCTGACATTCTCAAGAAGCGTGGGAAGAGGAAGGACCTCTGGTTTGCATTCTTTCCCCCCCCAGGCTGCTTTGGAAAGTATGAAGCATCTCTGTGACCCTTGACCTTGGATGGTTTGGAAAGATGAAATTCCAGACAGGCTCTTAATCCAAAGGGGGGTGGGGTGGAGAGGAAATGCTTGTTCTTGGCCCCAAAATCAAGCATCTTAGTTGTTGCAAATGGTTTTTAGTCTAATTCATTAATGCCCCAGTCTTTGGGGCTCATGCTTGGAAAGCTGCTTCTAAAAGTGCCATTCAGCATGCCTTTTGATGCCTTCCTTGACTTCATTTCACCACCTGTTTGGGGTTGGTGAAGGAGTTTGCAGCCACCAATAGGTCACAGATGCTAAGAATAAGGCCCTGTGGCATAACAGAAGAAGCTGGTTTTGGATGAGCCATGGAGCTCACTTAGCCATGGAGGCAAATGGGCAAACAAAAGGCGCAGAGAGGAAGCTTCCAATCAAAGGGATGGATGGAGAAGATGATTGTTGAGTTAAAATTGTAGAAAATATTGGCCATGGGAATGAATGGATATTGTCAGATCACATGTGTATATACTTCACTAACCAAACCTTCTGTCAAGTTCCCTTCGTATACAGCAATATCACTTACAGTTCATATTTTATAACTGCACAAAGTTCATCTTTAAAGGTGAGCCTAACTGAGAGAACCTGTGTAATGTTCATCTTATTTTATCTTTCTGATGTTTTGGGTAGATAAATGATTGAATCTAAAATTCTGATTGATGAAAGATGAACCACTAGGAATCCAACAGGCCAAAATCTGAGCTTGGTTAATAATTATGATTGCTGACATTTCAGCCAGACAGTAATTTGAATACAGATTATTCTGTGATAGGGAAGCAGTCTTTGCAGATTAAATTTCCATTGTAAAAGCCCTTAGATTAGAAGCCAGTCTTTATGGGGATGCAATTTTATAGCAGGTTGCCATAGTTACTTATGAAGGCTTACTGCATTTCCCTTGCTTCACCTCTGTCTAAATGTTGCAGTGCCCTTTGTGCAAATAAGATCAATCCATGTCAATTCTTAGTTGTTTTTACTAATTTTGCTACCACTGCAACTCTTGGAGAAATTTGAGTTAAAGCTGCCGAGTTGCCGCAGGGCACACAATGGCTAAATTCGGACATCATGCCAAGCCATGGTTTACTGTGCAAAATATGGATCTATAGGGTAATGCAATGAAGAAAGTAACATTTTGTAGCACTGGAACTGGAACTAACAAAAATAAAAGCAGTTAAGAGAGTATGCAGTGAGATACTGCATAGAACTTCAGCACAGAATATTTTTATGTGATTGCTTCACTGTTCTTCATAAAATTGCATGTTTAACTTCCATTTGTGGAACTGAAGCTGAGAGAGGTATTCTCAATATATTGCTAAATATCAACCATAAAACAAGAAAAATATGCCAGAGAGCATGTGCCCTAATATTGTGTATGTGTGAAATTATTATTAGGGTTAGGTATGAGAGATGCTTTTAGTTTCCTGCCATGTAATATATTAGAATGGTTATTCTCCTTGAAATGGATAAGAAAGGTGGCATAGCTAGGAAGTGCTCTCATTTGTCACGCTGCATCATTGGAGTCCAAAGACCTTCCCAAGCATTTGCCCTGAATTATGTACAATAAGGGCCTAAGAAGAGCCTGCAAGATCAGGCCAAGGTCCCATATAGTCCAGCATTCTGTTCTCACAGTGGCCAATGAGATGCCCATGCAAAAGCCTGTAAGCAGGACGTGAGTGAGACAATGATGTATTCTCAAGTGAACACCATCTGATGAACAATTGACTATGTCCATCCATGGCAATAGCATTCCAGATTTCATAATGGCATTTTAACACTGGCTAAGGAGCACTTCACTATTCAGTCTTTGTAACTGGGTGGTTTAAACCTCTGAAATATTTAATGAAATCCATTTTCAAGGTTGACTCTTATTTCATGTAGCTATGAGTACTTTGCGTGGTGGAGGGAGCGTAATGCATCCTTCTGTTTGCTCTTTAGGTCTGTCAGCAGCCAAGTTGCTGTTTGACTCGGGATTGAGTGTTGTGGTCCTGGAAGCCCGTGACAGGGTTGGAGGCAGAACATTCACGGTCAGAGTAAGTATTCCTGTCTTATCTCTTTTATTCATTCATTCACAAAGCATCACAAAATGATGCTCAAATTGGCTCACAACAAAGAAAACAATAATGCATTTCAAAATCAAACATTGCAAACTATTTCATAATAACATAAAACAGCAACACAATAGCAAATATTGCAACTCCAAATAACATTGCAGTACTGTATAGCAACATTACATTAACAGTGTTACACCTCCTGGCAAACAGCAAAAATAACAAGAGAGTCTAACACTGTTTCCTGGTCCTAGAAACCCCAGTCCCGTGATGTTGTTCACAGTTCCCCTTTTGCAGCAGCTTCTTACAAGGCTTCCAGTGGCAGGAGGTGGGGTAGCTGAAAACTCCTCTCCCATGGTGTTATTTATTACATTTGTATCACAACTTTCTTTCCATCATGGAAGGTGTGGTACATAGGGTTCCATGGCAGTCTCCCACCAAAATGCTAGCCATGCTTGTACCCAGTTCGCATCAACAGGTTTCTGTACCACAAGCCTTCAGCCCATGCACTGCACTGCTGCAGAAATTGTGTGTATGTATGTGTATGTATTGTGTGTATGTATTGTGTGTATGTATTGTGTGTGTGTGTATGTATGTATGTGTATATATGTATGTGTGTGTGTGTGTGTGTGTGTGTATTCATCCCATGGCACAGAATTGAGGGCAAAAATGGAGAATCACAAGTTTTGTCTGATAGCCATTTGCCAAGAATGTTTCCTTTGTTCCCTTCTCTGCCAGAATAAGCATGTCAAATATGTGGACCTGGGAGGGGCATACGTGGGGCCAACACAAAACCGTGTCTTGCGACTATCTAAGGAGCTGGGACTAGAGACCTATAAAGTGAATGAAGTAGAACATCTCATTCACCATGTCAAGGTATGACTAGAACTTTTTTCTGAATGTGTATGTTTTTGGAATTAGGATGGTGGCTCATAACATCTTTATTGGAATCCCTAAATAGGATAAAGATCAATGTTTAAGCCTAACTGGGGTTATGTATAATCATTCTTTCTGCAAGAAGTTGGGAGTTTGACTGGATCAAGTGATCTAATCTGATCGTGGAATCAAAATAATTTGATGGATTATTGCAGTATTAAATAATATGATTAACTGTAGTGATACCCTGTTGAAATTTGATCAGCTATATAACCAAGATGCAGAATTAAGCAATGAGGTGGCTGTTATTTCCTGGGTTTTGAAGTGTTTAATGCCTTCTAAAGAGATACGCAAAATTCTGTTAGATGCAGAATTTCAGGCAGTTCAAACATGCTGGCATCATCTAGTTGGGATATTTGCAGTAAAGGGTAGCAATATTTATCTTATTATTTTAAGTGTCCCTTCCCCTCAGTGCTGTGAAAGTGTAGTTTTCCGGTAGCAGCTCTGCTGTATCTGAGAGAGTCTTGGAAGAAAACCTAATTGGTCTTTTCTTAGATGAATGCCCAGTGGCAGACCTGGTTATCCTGAGAGATTTTAATGTCTGGATAGCTTTCTAATTATGTCTCAAAGGCCATCTCAGCATATAATGCTAAATGATTTAGCATGGGCCAGCATGATTACTATATTACAAATTCAGTTTCATTTTCTTGAATGGGGAAAGGTTAGGGCTGATGATGACTGCCTGGACCATTTTACCTGTATGTCAGATAAGGGCGGAAATATTAATCATCATGTTATTACATTACATTGTATTTGGCAGTATCCAACTTTTACAGTTGCAATAAGGGCAGATAGTGATCATCCTTGAACGGAAATGGTTTATAAACCCTCTGGCTTCCCAGATATTGCAAATGTGCCCAAGGTAGAAGTAGACAGATGGACTCACGTTTGAACTGGTCATTCACTTTTGCATTGGGTGTTCAGACCTGTGGTTGGAGCAGAATGCTTGCTGTAAGGAAGGAATATTGAATCTAGATCTTGTGCATCAAAGAAGCAACAGGAGCCTGCAAATATGGTGGGCAAGTTCAAAATTCAAAATGTGAAGTTCAGCCTCCAGCCGTCCATTTGCCCCCAAATAGCTCTTTCATTCATGTTCCTGTTTCTTACTCTACTGCCTAATCTGCACATTTCTCTTAGTCCCATTGTGTCTAGGTCTGGTGTCCCTTGGCTCCCCTTCCTTTTAGTCTGGCCCACAAAACTACTTCTCTTCCTGGGACCTGTGGGTCAGTATTTAATCCAGGCAGGCAGACAACTTTCCATTCTGACAGTTTAGTTCTCTGAGCAGTTGGAATATTTGTGAACATTCGAGCCAATTGGTATCTGAGGCTTTGCTGCCTTGAGCACAATCCAGTATAGATTAGGTTATAGCAGTTCTTTCCTTTAGGTGGAATGACAAAAGCTAAATATCACTCAAAGTAACAAACAAAACAGTGTCTACCAAAAAGGTCAATATATATTGATAGGAGCAAAGAGTTATTAAGGAGAACTATGATCAGTCTATGTTTTCCAAGCAAAAACCACTATAACATACATAAGGGTATATTACAGGTAAAATGTTTGTTTAAGTAAATGTTCTGTGCATACCCCAGTGCATTTAAGTACACTTACCATTTAAGTTCCATCATTACCACATCAGCAGGCCAGGAATTACTGGCTTGGTAATACTATGTGTAGGCCCACCGACATGTAGCAAGTGCATGATGGGATATGTGTGGGATGTTAAGCATTCTACATGGGGCTGGCTTTATGTGTTTTGGCCCTTAAGTGAAGTTTTATTGGTGTACTAATCAATAAATATGAGACAAATTATTGAAAAGTGTTGTTTGCTAACTGGCACCAAGGCATTGTAATCAATGGATTGCACCTAGGAGATGTGGGCTTCATTTCTAGTTCAGATATGAGAGTGTCGTTCACCATATTAAGCTTACTTTACATCTGTATAACTGGAATAATAATTACCTTATTTATTTTTAAAATAACAAGGGTTTTGCAGGATTTTGCATACCTGCAAAATGTTTTTTCTAAAAAAAAAAGTTTAGGGGTACTCTCATTTTGACTCAAGAAAATCACCATTTTATAGTTCAAATCTGGGAAAATAAATACAGTAAATGGACAAAACTTCAAAGATCCACAAAATGTTTAGGGGTATGCGTACCCCTGCGTACCCACAGAGAAAAGTACTGCCTGTCTGACGATCCAATATGGGAATGATGTCATCCTTTCAGATTAAAACATTAGTGGATGCCTTTGCAAGAAATGTAAAGGATTCACCTCAACGTTATCTTTTGAAAGTTTTAATGAGGGTCGTGTAAAACCAGTGCATTTTCCCGGGGGTATTCAAGGGTATGCAACCAGCACCTTTCCCCCCATATGTTAAAATGTGGCACTCAACTGTAATAACTTCATGGTGGGTACCAGTACTATTTTTCTCATTAAAAAGCACTGTATAAAAATCTTTCTGTTTCTTTTCTGATGGTGAATACTTGAGAGTTGATTAAGTTCACTAACTGAGGTGCTTCTTTAATTCAAGGAGTATGAATTACTTCTAATACCAATTAACAAAATAATTCAGACCAGGATGGACTGTATGTTAGAAAATAATTATTATTTGATTATTATTGGTTTAAGTGGACTACTCTAATAAGGGACAAAGTACTCTGGTTGAGAGTTACCACTAAGATTTACAACACCTTCCTTTACACGGATTAGGCCAGCAAGTGGCTGAAGCTTGGAGAAACCAAATCGAATCAATCAGAAGGAGATAAAAAGTATAAGACAAACTTGAGAAGACACCTTAACACCCTAAGTGTTAAAAACCCACATATATGTTAAAGGAAGGCTTAGTTTGATTATCTGAGAGAAGGAGATTGTGAGCCCCTAAGGGGAGAG